AAATAGATGATTCTGTGGGTACCATTCAAGTGGGAGAAAGATAAGGCACACTTTTCTTTAATTAAAAATTTCCAAACTGGTTTTGCCTTATTACCAAWTAAACCATAATTAATGTTGAGTTCCATTATTTCATTGCCTTTATATCACTGTCATTGCAGACCCAAAAATCTAAGAGAAGTTTCTTTCATCATGAAATAAATTTGCACAAGTATTGACTAGCATTTGTGAGCATCCTTGTTTATGACACAGCAGACTGTTGGTTGAGAAGGGTTAGTTAAGTGCCTGCTGACATTGAATTTTTTTGAGAATATACTCTTGTTAGTAATTTTCCACAGTCGTACTATTAGTTTAACAGAACAAAGGAGCTTTGTAACACAATTTTTTTACCACCTCAAAAGTTTCTGTGGGGTTACATCTTCTGTACTCTCCTCAGTAATCATAATTATATGGCACTTGAGCCTCAGGAAACTGAAACAGACATTCCAGTGAGATAAAAACAGAAGTCTCCCGAAGACTGCCCTAAGCCCTGTAATAACTGTCTTAAAAGGAAAAAAAAAAAAAAAGCTCAAAACAAATTCAGCATCTCTTTTTCTTTATCAAAACAGTACACTAGAAAAAGAAGAAACATTGATGTGCGTCCAGTCATTATAACCATACTCAAATTTCTGTGTCTGTCCCATGACAGTGCCTGGATCAAGAGGCCACAGCAACCACTTTTCCTGATCAGAGTATTTTGGGTTGTTTTTTGGGGGATGTACATCTAAATTTTTCTTGGTTCTTATCTTCTAGATGCTACAATGTCACACAGTATGGAATATGATTCTACTGATTACCTCTATGTTTGTTTTAATAGGCTAGCAAAGGATATTGACTCTTCTTTCCTTATTAGTCTTAAGCAGGGATGGTTTTTAACTTGCTTTTCTGAAAGCAGATAGCCCTAATGGTGCTTCAACATTCTCRAAGAACCATCTTCAATTTTGTCCCGATGAGCAGCTCTGATGGACACTGTTAGTGATAAAAATGCCCTTGAACATTCACTYCTCTGGGATAATCTTTACAGCTCAGTTTGGCAAATACATAACCTCTAACTTTTCAACCAGGCAAAAAAGTAATCCAGATAGYTGATGGTAAAAATCCACTTCAGAGTTTGATGATTTGTGGCAAATCATTTTTACAACTTTTTTCTGCTGGTTTGTTGCAGAGAAAGAAGTATTCCTCCTCTCTTGACATGCTCTTCAGATAACCTGAAATATTGGGAATTTTTATGTAGGTAAAATTATTGTTTGTAAAGCTRTGTTATTTACTATGAAAAAATAGTKGCATCTAACAGGACCTAATAATAATGTGTTCTCACAAATCTGTTTTAATTACTCTGGATTTCTACCTGTCCCAATCCCTGGGATAGGCTCGAAAATAACAGTAGAAATTATTCACTTCAATTCCATTAATTACAAGTAAACAAAGGTCTTCTAARCTTGTGGTCAAGACAGACATTTGACTAAAAATTACCGGGTGAATTCCAATCCACTGAGAGTACACAAAAAGAGGAATGGGGAATGATATCAATTTAGTGAAGAGTGCTCACTAGATCTTTTTCTTTCAAAGAAAGTGAGATACAAAAAGAAAATATCCATTTTAAAATAGGAAAAAGAGCTTCTTCTCAGTCAGCCTTCTTCCCCTGGAAAGGAGTTAAGGACCTTTACACCTCTAGCTATTGGACTGCCTGCATTTATCTAAACATTTGTCAGCTCTAGATTGTGTCAGCAAAATGCATTCTGAGATATTGAAAAGTGGTAAGAAATAAAAGCTTGTGAAGGACAGTTTTTACTTTTATATCTAGTAAAAAAGGCTTTACAGAAGCTTTCATTTGCTTCTAACCTTTAAACTACATCAAATGTATTGGTTTACAGTTCTCAAAATCTTATATAATCTACATTGTCCTCTTTATGATCACAAGAAATGGGTAAACTATTGTCACACAAAATAAGTGAATGTTGAAAAATGTCAATAGCATTTARTGTCATTTATTTGCCAAATGGGTTGGTAACTTTGACCAAGAGAGAATAAAAAACATATAAACAAGCAAAACCCCACAAACAGAATTTTTTATTGTGAAACCAATCTATTTTTTAAGAGAACTTCAAAAATCAATTTATGACGAGACAAAAATTTTTATTCATTCAGAATTCAAGTATTTTGAGTTGGCCATCAAAGCAGAAAATGAGTACAGGGAAATTTGCTTTAGGTTTATTTATTGATTAAGCCAAAAGTTTAAGTGAACAGTTTCAGCTGAGGTCATGTTATTACCAGAGAACAATCTTCAAATCTGTTTGATCACAAAA